GCGCCGCCCGTCGAGACGCGCAGCGACCGCACGGCGCGCGCGTCCGGGTCGACGACCTGCACGACGAGGTCGCCGCCGCCGAGGAACTCGAGCGAGAAGCCGACGTTCAGGATCTCGTTCCGCGGCGCGGCGTCGCGCCCGGGCACCGCCCGGACGGGCAGCGGCAGCCGCGCGGCGCAGGCCTTCTTCCGCCAGCGCAGCCGCCGCGCGAAGGCGAGCGCCGCCGCGTCGCGCCACCGACGAGAGACGCGCGCGATGCGAGGCTGGCTCCGCAGCGAGAGCCGACCGAAGCAGGCCGCGAGGACCTCGTCCGCGAGCGCGGCCTCGGGCGCCATTTGCAGCTGTGGACTCTGGTAAATGTTCTCGATACCCAGCGCGAGGGTTGTTAATTGGGAACGCAGGACGAGCGCTTGCACATCGACTAGTTCTTGCCCGTTCTTAAGAATTCGGGGCTCCCCATCGACGTTCTAGTACACCTTGAGGCCCACAAGGGTCCAAGAGGTATGCACAAACAACCTTAACCACTGTCATGCTGATCTGAGATGGGTGCTCTGAGAATGGGGTGAGGTAGTGGTGGTGGTGGTGGGGGTGGTACCCCTGGGGCCGCTGGAGACCACTCGAATCCACCGGAAATATGCTTGTTTTGGCTCTATCGACCAGTTTTGATCTCGAGCTCGAGCAAATTGGTGGTTTTGGCACTCGATCATAAATTTCGACCGTGTGGAGGTCCGAGTCGTGGCCGAGCAGCCCTCCAGCTGCCGATCGGCCAGGACGAGTGGTTCACAGGCTTCGTTGACCCCATGTTGCAGCTGTTTTGACCACTCATTTTGAGCAAGTCGCGACTCTGGGGTAGTTAGTTAGTGGTGCTTGCTGTCGTGAGGTGGTTCACTGCCTGCCTCTTGCAAGGGTCTAGATATTATATGAGCCCACATGCAATCTCACTGCACCTTGAAGTGCTCGCCAACATTTTGTGGCAGCCTCGACGCCTCGACCATCGGCGCTGCCGCGCGAAGGAATACCAGCAGCTCTCGGAATACAAATACCCTCGCGCGACGATGGCCCGCGCCGCGACAATCGCCGCGCTGCTCCTGCTTCCGGGCGTCGGCGCCCAGCCCGCGGCGGGCGAGCTCGTGAACCCGTGCCTCAACGCCACCTTCGAGGCCCTGCCCTTCTGCGACGCGACGCTCGCCATCGATCTGCGCGCCGCCGACGCCGTGTCGCGCATGACGATCCCGGAGAAGATCGACGCGCTGGACACGAAGACGGGGCCCATCGCGAGCCTGGGCCTGCCGGCCTACAACTGGTGGAGCGAGGCGAGCAGCGGCGTCATGGGGTCGCGGCCGACGACCAAGTTCGCGTACCCGGTCACGACGGCCATGTCGTTCAACCGCACGCTCTGGCGCGCGACGGGCGCGGCCATCGGCCGCGAGGCGCGCGCGCTCATGAACGCCGGCGCGGCCTACAGCACCTACTGGGCGCCCGTCGTCAACCTCGCGAGAGAGCCGCGCTGGGGCCGGAACATCGAGGTGCCCGGCGAGGACCCCTACCTGACGGGCGAGTACGCGACGGAGTTCGTCGGCGGCTTCCAGGCCGCGCCCGAGGACCCCTACCACCTCCAGGCCAGCGCCTGCTGCAAGCACTACGTCGCGAACGAGCTGGAGAACACGCGGCAGCCCGACGGCGAGCAGTGGGACCGGCAGCACGTCGACAGCAACGTCACGCAGCGCGACTTGGTCGACTCCTACATGGTGCCCTTCCAGGCCTGCGTCGAGAAGGGCAAGGTGTCGAGCCTGATGTGCTCCTACAACGCGGTCAACGGCGTGCCGAGTTGCGCGAACGACTGGCTCCTCCGGACGGTCGCGCGCGACGCGTGGCACTTCGACGGCTACATCACGTCGGACTGCGACGCCGACAGCAACGTCTACGACGCGCACCACTACGCCGCGACGCCCGAGGAGGCCGTCGCGGACGTGCTCAAGGCGGGCACGGACGTCGACTGCCAGTCCTTCGTCGGCCAGCACGCGCGGTCGGCCCTCGACAAGGGCCTCATCACGGAGGCGGACATGGACGCGCGGCTCGTCAACCTGTTCAAGGTGCGGCTCCGCCTCGGCCACTTCGACCTCTCCTTCGACGCCGCGAAGCCGCGCGGCCCGCTCGACGAGATCGACGCCGACGCCGTCGTCTGCTCCGACGCGCACCTCGACGCGTCCATGGAGGGCCTCGCCCAGTCCGCGACGCTCCTCAAGAACGACGGCGCGCTGCCGCTGAAGCCCTCGGGCACCGCGGCCGTCGTCGGGCCGAACGCGCTGCTCTCGAAGGCGGACGCGGGCTACTACGGCCCCACTGACGTCTGCGGCGGCGACTACTGGACGCTTCGTGGACGCCGTCGCGGACGGGGGCGCCGTCGCCGCGTCCGCGGTGCTCGGCGTGCCGACGGTGCTCAGCGGCAACGTCACGGGCATCCCCGCGGCCGTCGCCGCGGCGAAGGCCGCGGACGCCGTCGTTTTGGCCGTCGGCACGGACCTCACGTGGGCCGCCGAGGGCAAGGACGCGACGTCCATCGTCTTCACGGCCGCGCAGCTCGAGCTCATCGACGCGGTCGCGACGGCGAGCGCGACGCCCGTCGTCGTCGTCGTCTTCTCCGCGACGCCGCTCGACCTAACGCCGCTGCTGGCGCGGTCCGACGGCAAGGTCGGCGCCGTCGTCCACGTGGGCCAGCCGTCCGTGACGGTCAAGGGCCTCGGCGACCTGCTCTACGGCCGCCGGTCCTTCGCGGGCCGGGCCGTGCAGACGGTCTACCCCGCGGCCTACGCGGACCAGATCAGCATCTTCGACTTCAACATGCGGCCCGGCCCGTCGGCCTTCGCGCGCCCGGACTGCGCGACAAACGAGTCGGCGTGCCCGCGCGGCACGAACCCGGGCCGCACGTACCGCTTCTACGTCGACGAGCCCGTCGTGCCCTTTGGCTTCGGCCTGAGCTACACGACCTTTGCGTACGCGGTGCGCTCCGCGCCGACGACGGTCGACCTCGCGCCGCTCCGCGCCGCGTACGCGGGCGTCGCCGCGGCGCGCGGCGACGGCGGGCCCGCGTTCCTGAGCCTCCACGACGACGCCGCCGCGGCGACCTACGCCGTCGACGTGACGAACACGGGCGACATCGACGCCGACGACGTCGTCCTGGGCTTCGTGACGCCGCCGGGCGCGGGCGTCGACGGCGTCCCGCTCAAGGAGCTCTTCGGCTTCGAGCGCGTCCACGTCAAGGCCGGCGAGACGAAGACCGTCTACCTCTACCCGGCGCTCTCCAAGTTCAAGACCGTCGCCGAGGACGGCGCGCTCGCCGCGCGGCCGGGCGACTACGCGATCGAGTTCGGCATCCCGGAGACGCGCGGCCGCATGGGCTACGCCGCCGCGACCCTCGCCGCTTTCTGAGGCGGCGAACCGCGCCCTTTTTTTGTGCCCCCCGGGCGTTCCTTAAGACGGACCCGCTTAGCTCCCGGCGACGGGCTCCGGCGCGGCGGCGGGTTCGGGCGCGCCGGACGCGACGGGCTTGCAATCTTTCACACCACAGACCTTGCAACGAAGCTCTTTGGCGGCGCTCTCAAAGCGGTGGCCATGCTTGCAACGGAAGGCGGGCTTCCCCACGGCGGCGACGGGCGCCGGCTCCGGCGCGGCGGCGAGTTCGGGCGGAGGTTCGCGCGTCGGCCCGATCAGCGGGAGACGCGGCCCGCGCCTCGAGTCGAGCACCGAGCGCGGTCGCCGCTCGACCTCGGGCGCGTCCGCGGCCCACTTGGCCTTGGCGCCGTCGTCGAGCGCGAACCAGCCCGCGGAGGGCGCCTGGCATACGAGCGCGGACCTCGACTTGCCGCCGTCCTGGTCGAGCCGGTCGCGGTCGACAGCCGCCTTGACCGCGCCGCGGTGCTCCCGGTCGTAGAAATCCCGGCCCGTCAGCCGGGCCTGTTTGGCCGCCGCCTCGCGCTTGTCCCCCGCGGCGCGCGGGGCCGCGGCGCCGCCGGCGGCCGCCGCGGGCCCGGAGACCGCCGCGTCGCGCGCGTCCCCCGCGGCGCGCGGGGCCGCGGCGCCGCCGGCGGCCGCCGCGGGCCGCCCGGGGACCGCCGCGTCGCGCGCGCCCGCCGCGGCGCCGCCGGCGGCCGCCGCGGGCCGCCCGGGGAGCCGCCCGCGCGGGTCCCGCCGCGGCCCGTCGTCGTCGCCGCGCTTCTCCTCGGCCATGCCCGCGGCGTCGTCGTAGGACCGGAGCCGCGCGGCGACCTCCGCCGCGAGCGCCGCGCGGAGGAGGACGTCGTCGCCGCGGTCGCCCGGCGGCCCGCCCGGCAGCAGGGCCGCGCTCAGCAGCGCGTTCGGGAGCGGCGCGCGGCGCAGGAGGGGCGTTTCCTCCCGCGCGGGCGGCGCCGCGGGCACGTAGCCCCGGGGCAGCGCCGCGAGGTCGCCGGTCTGCGCCGCGTCCGCGTAGTGCGCGCGGCCGTGGTACGCGCCGGTGCGGCGCGCGGCCCCGGCGCGCGGCCCGAGCTCGCGCCAGAGGCGCCGGAGCTCCGGCACGGACCGCCGCGAGCCCGCCTCGGCGACGAAGCGGGCCCAGTCGCCGTCCGTGGCGGGGACGCCGCGGCGCGCGACGTAGACGCGGAGCTGGACGAGCTCGTCGGCCGCGAAGCGCTCGACGGCCGCGAAGCGCGCGGCCTGGGCGACGGTCGGCCGCAGCTGGACGCGCGGCGGCGCGGCGCCGGCCGGGCGGAGCCGCGGCGCCGCGGCGGCGCGGAGCCGCGAGTCGCCCGCGACGCCGTCGCGCTCCCGCGGCGCCGCGGCGGCGCGGAGCCGCGAGTAGCCCGCGACGCCGTCGCGCTCGTCCGCCGCGGCGCGCGCGGCGTCCGCCGCGGGCCGCGCGGGCCCCCGGCGGTGTCCGGGCGCGCGAGGATGCTCGGCGGGCTGCCAGGCCCCGCGGACGCGGGGGCCCTCGTCGCGCAGGAACCCCGCGGCGGCGCGGGGCGCGCGGCTCCGGACCCGCGGGAGCGGCGCGGCCTCCGCGGCGGCGTCGCGCGCCCCGGCCGCGGCGAGCCAGTCCGGCGGCGCGGAGACGTCGCCGAGGCGCTCGCCGTCGTAGGCGCCGAACGCCGCGGACCGCAGCCGCGCGTCGTCGCCCTTGGGCTTCGGCAGGCGCGCGAGCGCTCGCTTCGCGTCCGCGCGGGACGCCGCGAGGCTGTCCAGGTTCGCGACGCCGCGGAGGCCCTCCGCGCCGGCGCGGAGGCGCAGCACGTGGGGCTTCCGCGCGTGCCTCGCGTCGACGGCGTCGACGGGCGCCGCCGCGGGCGGCGCGTCCTTGCCCCGGCAAAAGAGCGGTTCCGCGTCGCGCCACGCCTCGAGCTCCCTGAAGCGCGGGCACGCGAGGAACGCGAGCCGCGCGTCGCGGCGCCGCGCGGCCTCGGCCTCCGTCGCGAAGCGCCCGACGAAGATGGCGCTCCGGCCGGCGCCGGCGTCGTCCCGCGCCGCGTCGCTCGCGAGCGTCGCGGTCCACGCGGCGCCGTCGAAGCCGACGTCGGCCCAGCAGTGGCTCACGCCGCCCGTCGCGTAGCGCGGCGGCTCCGGCGCGTCGTCGGCCACCTCGCAGGCGCGGCGCCGCGGGTCCAGGCCCGGGTCCAACCGCCGCGGGGGCCGCACGAGGCGCGCGGGCACCTCGCGCTCGACCGCGCCGTCGTCGTAGTCGACGTCGAAGGTCGCCCGCGCGTCGTCGAGGCGCGCGGTGGTCGCGCCGACGGCCGCGCCGGCCGACGCCCAGCGCTGGATCGCGACGACCGCGCCGGGGTACCACGCGTCGCCGCCGCGCCACCGCGCCTCGACGCGCGCGCCGCGCGCGATCGTCCAGGGACCCGCCGCCAACACGGGCGCCGCGAAGCCCGGCGGCGGCGGCGGCGGCGTTTCGGCGCGGAGCCTCCGGGCGACGTCCTCCCGGCTGCAGAAGAGCTCGCCCGCCGGCGACGCGAAGCGCTGCGCGTTCGTCGAGGGCGTCGCGGCCCAGCCGGGCGGCAGGCCGACGCGGAGCGCCGCCGCCGCCTGCTCGCGCTTCTCGCGCGCGACGTCGACGGCCTCGCCCGCGAGGAGGGACTCGCGCGCGGCCTTGACCGACGTGAAGACGAGCCCCTCGGGGCTCAGCGCGCACGTCACGCGGTTCCGCTCCCGCTGGTTCGTGACGACGCGCCAGCCGGCGGGGAGGCCCTCGTCGTCGTCGGCGTCCGTCCGCTTCTTCGGCGCGGGTCCGGCGTCGTCGGCGGCGCGGCCGGCGAGCGCGCGGGTCCGCTTCGGCGCCCGGCGCGGCGCGGCCCACGCCGCGAAGGATACCTCGGGCGCCGTCGCCGCGCGGACGTCCGCGAGCGGCAGGTCGAGGGCGTAGCTCCAGCGCGGGCGTTTGAAGGCCTGGATGCGCAGGCCGTCGACGACGATCGCATCCGTCCCGTGCTCGTTGACCTCCCTGGGCGACCGAGATCCCTGAAAGCCTCCCTGCTCGGGCGCGCCGCGCGACGCCGTCCGAGACGCGCGTCCGCCTGCGCATCGAGGGTGTTCGTGTGGGCGAGGGAGGGGGCGTGCCGGAGCGACGTGGATTCGATTCGACGGCGTGCGAGAGGGGGAGGGGAATAGGGAACGAACGAATAGAGAGCGTGTCGGGGGGACGAGCGGATCGAGGGCGCGCGCGGAGACCGGGAATAGGGAACGAACGCATAGAGGGAGAGCGTCGGGGGAACGGGCGGGACGCGGATTCGCGCTGTGTCGTGTAGTGTACACCCCGTCGCCGTAGGCGCGCGACGCGCAAGAGTCGGCGTGCGCCGCGAGGGCTTCGGGATGAAAAAACAGGCCGCAGATCGGGCACGGCGACGTCGCGCCGCCGGTCTGAGGCATCGGATAGAGGCGAATCAACCCTAGGGCTCCGGGGCGAGGTAAGAGTGCGTTTTTTCAAGCCTGCTCGCCGGAAGCGACGGGGCACGGGAAAACAGCGAGTGCGGCGTCGGGGCCCGTTCCGGGTTGAGGGGCGGCGTGTCGACCCCCCCCGGGAGGTCGGTCGACGATCTGGCGCGCGGCAGAGGCCGGAGGCGAGCGGGTTCAGAACAACCGCGTCGCTGACGCGCGGCACATGCTTGAAACGATCCAGGCGCGCGTCGAGTGCGTCAAGGTTGCCGGGGTCATGAAATTCACATTCGGAGAGGATCGCGAGCGCGCCATGGAGGGAGCTCTTTAGACGGGGGCGCACAAAAACCCGGAGGCACGCCTCACTCGCCCTCCGGCGGCGGCGGCGGCGGGAGGAGCGTCTCGGGCTCGTCCACGTCGTCCGCGCCGTCGAGGCGGCAGATGACGGAGGAGCACGTGAAGCCCGCGATGTGGGGGTCGGCCTCGGAGGACGTGCCGCCGCCCATCTCGTGGAAGGGCGGCGGGCCGATCTCGCCGTTGCAGAAGCAGCCGACGATGGGGAGCCGCGGCTGGCCCGCGCGGAGCGCGGCGGAGTCGCGGTCGGGCGCGCGGTGGAAGTTCGTGCCGCGGCCGCTGCAGGTGAAGACGACGGCCCCGAGCACGCTCAGTGTCTCGTCGAGGCCGCCGCGGAGCGCCGCGGCGCGCGCGCCCGCGAGGCGCAGCGCGACGCGGCTCGCCTCCGCGGCCGCCTCGAGCTCCTTGACCGACGCGGCCGCGTCGAGCGTGTGCCAGGCCGCGCGCGCGCCCTCGGGCACGTCGCCGTCCAGCGCGACGGCGCCGTCGTCGTCGAGGTGCTGGGGGCTCAGCAGGTTGAAGCCCGTCGTCTCCACCGCGCCGCCTCCGCCGCGCGCGCGGACCCCGAGGAACAGCGGCCGCGGCAGGCCGCCGACGCTGTTCACCAGCGTCCGGAGCGTCGCGCCCGGGGACACGAGGTCGTCGGACCGGTCCACGCGCACGAAGGCCCCGGCGCCGTCGCGGACCGCGGCGACGGACAGGCCCCGGACCTTCTCGAGCGTGATCGAGTGGCCCGGGCAGACGTTGACGCGCTGCTGCGACGTCTCCCGCACCTCGTAGACGTGGGGCCCGACGACCTCGGCGCCGCGGCTCACGGCCGACGAGCACGTCGCGCCCTTGCCCACGAACGCGAGCACGAGCGCGCCGCCGGGCGCGCCCGCGGGCAGCGTCGGCAGGCCGTCGCCGACGCCCGGCGCCGCGTCGAAGATGAGCGACCCCGTGTCGACGCTCCGCTCCGCGCCCAGCAGGCCGCCGGACACCGCGCAGGGCCGCGCGCCGCGGGCCAGCCACGCGTCCTTGAAGTCCGTGACCTCGCGGAGCGCGGCGTGCGCCGCGCGCGCGTCCTCGCTGAACACGAGGCAGGCGCGCGGCGGCTTGTCCCCGTCGACGTCGAGGCGGCCCGACGCCGCCGGCGCGGGCCCGTGCGGGTCGCCGCGCGCGGGCACGTAGCGCGCGCGCAGCGCGCCCTCGTCGCCGAGGCGCACGAGCGCGACGGCGAAGCCGCCGGCGTCGTCGCTCGGCTCGAGCTCGCGGACGGCGTGGGCCGTCGAGCAGAGCACGCCCGGCGCCGCGCCGCCGACGATCGTCGTCGCGGGTAAGGCCGCGCGGAACGCGGCCCGCAGGTCTCCTAAACACCCGGCCCAGGTCCCGGACGCGAGGACGACGGCGACGTGCGGCGCCGCGGGCAGCGACAGCGTGCCCAGCACCTCGGCCACGGCCGCCGCGGCCCGGTTCCCCCGCGGCGCCTCCTCCGCGGCGCCGCCGTCGTCGCCCGCGCCCGCCGCGCCGGCGTCCGATCCGAGGCGCCGCCGCGCCTGGCGGAGCAGGAAGCCGCCGATGCGCTTCGCCGCCGATCGCAGCCGCGCGGGGCTCGGCGGCGCGGCCTCCGGCGCCGGCCCGGCGTGCACGGCCGTCAGGAAGAAGGGCCGCGACGCGCGAGACCGCGCGGCCACGTTCACGAGCTTGCAGGTGCGCGCCGCGCGGGCCCCGTCGCCCAGGTAGCTCAGCACGACCTCCCAGAGCATCTCGTTTTCCATGGTTGACGTCGGAAGGCGCCGAGGCGCCGCGCGACGCTGGGATCTGCGCGACGAAAGAGAGGCCAAGCTCGGCCAGCAGCTCGAGATCTATATCGATTCTCGCCGCACTTGGCAAGAAGCCTGACGCGTCGACCGTCCACGGTGCAGTGAATCCGTGGTGATACTGCCTTGCGGCGGCGCTGAAACGAGGTGGGACCGCCGGGGCTGCGCCTGGCAGGCCGGCTCCCGGCGACCATGGCGCTGGACATGGGCCTCTTCCACGACCCGCTGGACACGAACGGCGTCAAGACGCTGCCGCCCATCAGCGGCGCCTTCGACATCCTCGGCGGCGACCCCATGGCCGGCGTGCTGACGACGTCGCAGAAGAGCGTGGGCCTGGGCCACCCGCCGCGGCGGGGCGTGCTGGCCGGGGGCCCGCCGGCGCGGGGCGGGCCCGGCCGGCGGCGCCAGCCCTTCGCGAACCCCTTTGGCCTGGAGGTGCCGACGCTCAAGTTCGACACGTCCGCGCCGCGCGTGCCCGCGCGGCGCTACACGTCGAAGCGCGCGCGGGCCAAGGCCGACCTGGAGCGGACGCGGCGCGCGAAGCAGGAGACCTTCGGCCCCGAGCTGAGCCTCTACAGCGGCTTCCTCGACGACCTGAGCCCCGAGGGCGAGGCGGCCGCGACGACGTACGTCGCGCGGGTCCTCGACGACAAGGCGGAGCGGCGGGCAGGACAAGAGAGCGAAATTCCCAACTTCAAAGGCTCATATCTCGGCCGTTTTCCACTCATTTTGGCTAATTCTTGGACGAGCGATCATCTCTCGGAACGGTCTCGAAGCGTAGATGCTTTTTTCGGAACGCGCGCGCGCGGAACACTCATGTTGAAGCGACGTTGAATCACCCTTGTCCTGCCCAGGCGGAGCGGCGGAAGGCCGGGGCCGCGGAGAGGCGCGCCGCGGCGGACGCGAGGAAGCAGGAGGCCAAGGCGTCCAAGGAGGGCGACCGGAGCCCGAGCAAGGCGTCCGTCGCGAGCGGCGGCTCGGAGCGGTCGGGCGACGGCGCGACGCAGCGGACGGTCACCACGGCGCGGACGACCGCGTCGGGCGCGGACGGCCTCACGGCGTCCGTGAACCGCATCCGGACCTACACGAACCTCCTCCAGCAGCACTCGCTCCACCATTTCATCATCTGGAAGGGCAAGCGGCTCCACGCGACGCCCGAGTTCGGCGCGTTCCGGCGCCGCTACGCGGTCCGCTGGAGCGGCATCTCCCACATCGTCGGCCTGCTGGAGGACCTGTGCCTCCAGAAGGCCGTGACGCTCGCCCTCGTCGACGGCGCGGCCGTCGACGCGCTCGCCAAGTGCGACCTCGCGCGGCTCAAGGTCGCGGACCTGCGCGCGTGCGTGCACAACATGGACCACGTCGACGGCGGCGAGGACATCTTCAAGCCGTCCTCGTCGACGACGAAGCACCGGGACCGCTCCAAGGCCGCGACGCTCATCCAGACCGTCGCGCGGCGCGTCGTCGCGCGGAAGCGGTTCCTGAGCCACCGCGTGCGCCGCGACGCGGCCGTGTCCATCCAGAGCCAGGCGCGGCGCAAGCTCGCGGTCGCGACGGTGCTCGACGGCATCGCGCGGCTCCGCAGCGAGCGGGCGACGCACTGGGACGCGCTCTCCGCGCGGCTCCGGCGCGACGCCGCGCACCTCGCGCCGGGCGCGGAGCGCGTCGAGATCCACGTGCCGTCGCTGGGCCACAGCGAGCACGTGCGCCTCGACGCGCCGCGCTTCCAGCTGTCCCAGGCCATGCAGATCGCGCGGCTCTGCGCGGCCGCGGACCCGAACACGCACGTCGTCTACGTGTCGCCCGTCGAGCTCGGCGACGAGTTGGTCGACTACTACCAGCGCGTGCTGTCGCTCGCGCGCGGCGGCTCCGGCGACGACGACGACGACGCGGACGGCGACCCGGCGTCGACGCCGCGGCCGGGCGCGAGCTCCCGCTTCACGGTCATCGTGCCCGAGCTCGTCCGCCGCTTCCCGGCGCATTTTACGTTGGCGTCGCTCGCGCTCTACTCGCCGAGCTGCTGCCGGCGGCTCTACCACCTCAGCGCGGGCCGCTTCGCGGTCATCGTGCCCGGCGGCCCCGTGGGCTGGGCCGAGAAGGCGCTGGCGCTGCGCCTCGACGTGCCCCTGCTGGGGCCGGACCCGAGCCGCGCGGCGCTCTACGGGTCGCGGTCCGGCGCGAAGCGCGTGCTCCACGAGAGCGACGTGAACATCCCCGTGGGCGCGCACGACATCTACGACGAGGAGGACTTCTGCGTGGCGCTGGCGAAGCTCGTGGCGGGCCATTTGGACGTCGCGCGGTGGAAGTTCGGCGTCGACGCGGACGCCCGCGTGGAACTCGACCGCCGGTTCGGGACGTCCCGACCAAACTTTGAAAAGTCTCTCGCTCGGTCACGTCGAAGTCGATTGAGCTGATCTTTGGACGAATCGATGACGCTCGTCGAGTGCTCGAAGCATGGCCGACGAGGCTGGTCCGAACCGTTCGAATACGCGCACATGGACGTCGGGTTGAAGATGTGAGTTCCACGCAGGCGGACGCGGGCGCGTCGGGCGTCGCGTACCTCGACGTCGACGATTTGGACGTCGTGCGGGACCTGCGGCACGAGCAGCGGCGCCTCACGGCCCTCGACCGGCACAAGGGCGAGGCGGCCTGGCACCACCCGGACGTGCAGGTGCTGGCGCGGTCGAAACTCCTCCGGTCGCTGCGCGTCGCGCTCGCGGCGCGCGCGGTCGTCTGCTACCCGGGCAAGCGGCCCGAGGGCGGCGCCTGGCCGTCGTTCATGGCCCTGGTCCAGCGCTACGGCGGCGTCATCGAGGCGGAGCCGCGCGACGTCGTCGGCCACTCGTGCGTCCACGCGTTCGTGCGGCCCGACGGCGTCGTGTCCGTGCGCGCGGCCCAGGACGTGCTGTCGACGGACGGCTACGAGCGCATCGTCGCCGTCCACCCGGCGGCCGCCGCGCCCGTCGAGGCGCTGGCCGGCGCGACGGCGGCCGTCGCGCGGCGGCTCTTCGACCGCGGCGTCCCGCGTGGCATTCAAATCTTCAACCCGACTTCAATGTGAGCGTATGCGACAGTTTCGACGCAATTTCTTCGGCTCTGCTTCTCGAGAACTCGACGAGAGCGATCGATTCGTCCAAAAATCAGTCGAATCGACTTCGATTCGATCGAGATGGAGCATTCTCAAGTTTGGCTGGGATACCCCAGCTCACCGTTCGACGTCCACGCAGGCGGCGTCGTCGGCCACTTCACGTTGCACTTCACGGCGCACCGGAGCGCCGACGCCGGCGGCGCGCTACGGCTGTGGGCGACGGACCTGGAGCTGGGCCTGAACCCGCTCGCCGTGGGCCACCTGCTCCACGTCGCGGTGACGGGCCGCGCGCCGCGGAAGCCCGCGCCGGGCGCGGGCCCGGCGCCGCCGGCGGACCCGGCGAAGCGGAGCTACGTCCTCGTGCCGGGCTTCTACCACCCGGGCCTCGCCGCGCTCAAGTACTCGTCCTTCTTCAAGCTCTGCCGCCTCCACGGCATCGCCTTCGACCTCGCGAAGCGCCGCGGGCCCGTGTTACTGCTCGTCGACTCGCTCGCGTCCGGCGTCGTCGGCGCGGTCACCGAGGGCGCGAACAAGCTCGACGCGCTGCGCCTCTGCCACAAGTTTTTGACCTTCGTGCGGAAGCACGTCGACACGGCGCACCTCATCCACCACGTGGCCGGGCCCGCGGACCGCGAGCTGCCGGATTTGATCCACGTCGTCAACGGCGCGCTCCGGCCCCTCGAGCACATGATCTCGTCCCTCGCCATCGGGCCCGAGCTCGCCGCGCCCCTCATCCACGACCGGCGGCGCCTCCCCCAGCCCGACGACGCCGCGACGCCCGTCTAAGAGTAGGCGAGGGTTCCAGGGCGTCGACGGTCGCGGCCGCGGGCCGGCCCGGCAGCGCCCACCTCCCCAACGAAGTGCTCGATCGGCTTCAGCTTCTTGTGCCGCTTCGGCGGCGGGCTATGGCGAGCGCCTCCTCAACTTAGGCTCGCGCAGTCGTAGAGGACCGCGGGCTCCGACGCGCCGGGCGCGTCTTCGTGGAGGTAGCGGCGGACGGCCCCGAGCGCGCGGCGGTACCAGATCCGGGGCCGCGACGCGCCGGGCGCGTCGAGCGCCTCGGCGTGGAAGTGGCCGAACGTGACGAAGGGCGCGCCGGTGAAGCGCTCCGTCGTGTGGAGCCAGAAGATGGGCACGAAGAGCGCGTCGCCGTCGCGGAAGCGGTGCTGCGCGGCGGGGATCCACGACAGGTCGTCGTCCGCGCCGTCGCCGCACCTGTCCCGGAGCCAGGCCGCGAGGCCGGCGGCGTCGCGCGGGCACGCGCTCTGGCGCCACGCCGTCGACGCCTCGTCGCGCTCGACCTCGAAGCAGGGGTCCGCGAGCGCCGGGTGCGCGAGGACGACGCGGAAGTCGCCGCCGGAGAGGTCCGCGATCCAGTTGTGGGCGTAGTCGACGTGCCAGTTGTAGGCGTAGGCGCCGGCGCCCGTCCGGACGACGCGGTACGAAATGGTCCGCGTGCCGAGGCCCCGGGTCGCGTCGCCCGCGGGCGACGTCGCCGCGCGGAGCGTTTCGTCGACGGCGCGCTCCGGCACGGGCAGCGTGAAGGACCGGCCCGCGCCCTTCCGGAATCCGCGGAGCGTCGACGCGGACCGGGCCGTGCTGCGCGACGCGGACCGGTTCGCGCCGGGGGGGGGATGGTGGAACTCGAACGCGCGCCCCTTCCAGCGCCACGCGGTGCCCGGCACGTCCCGGAGGTCGCCGCGCGTCTCCGGCGCCATCCAGCTCGAGTTCCGCAGCGCGAGCGCCGGCGCCCAGTCCCGCACGACGAACGGCGCCATGAGGGCCCGGAGCCGCGCGGCCGTCGCGGCCGCGGCGCCGCCGGCCGCCAGGTCGCGCCCGTCGAGCACGGCGAGCGCGCCGACGGCGCCGCTCGGGTCCCGGAGCACGTCGAGGAGCGGCGCGCCGCCGAGCGACGGGCCGCCGGACCAGAGCGGCGCGTTCGTGACGAGCGCGTCGAAGAGCTCGTCGTAGCTGGGGTGCGTGTCCCACCCCGAGCTCGACGGCCCGATATAGCAGCGCCGCGCCCCGTGCGACGACAGTAGGGTCGCCAGCGACGCGCACAGCGCTGCGGCCCACGCGCCGCGCCGCATCATAAAGAGCCGCAGGGGAGACGACAACTCACAACTCCGACGACGGGGAGGTGAGAATGAATCCCATCGGTCTGCGGCGCGGTGTGGCGGAACAGCGCTCGCTAAAAATCGATTTCTGCCGCAACGCAGCTGGAGCCCTCAAACGACGCTACAGCGGACGCGGACGCAGCTATGGAGCCCGCGGACGCGACCGCTGCGTCGAGCGCGCCGTCCGATCCGGCGGCCGCGGAGCCGGCCGCGGCGTCGCCGGCGGTGCCGGCCGCGCCGCTGAAGAGAGCCGCCGACGTGCGCCAAGGCATCGCCCTGGTGCTTGAAACGATCCGCGCGGCGCCGCCAGACGAGGCGTTCACCGTCTTCGCGATCCTCAACTACCAACACAGCGACGACGCGGCCCCGCGCCAGGGACGGTGGAAGCAGCTCGAGAAGCCCCTGCGCTTCTCCTGCACGGCGCGCGAGCTCGCGGATATTGCGGCGCTGAGCCGCTTCGGGCTGGCGGTCGACTTCTTGAACCACCACCACCAAGCGCCGGGCGCGTCCCAGCCGTGGATGGACGTCGCGACGCGCGTCCTCGACGGCGGGCCGGCCAAATTCGTCGTCGCGGCGCTGACCCTCGGCCACCACGGGCGCCTCGGCGGCGAGCTGCCGCCGTGGGTCACGCTCGACGTCGTCTGGGCGGTGACGCAAACCTTCTTCAACAGCGACGCGTCCGACCAACCCGTCCTCGTCTGTCGGCCCGGTTCGATGGTGCGCTGCGTGCCGGGGCGGCGGTGGTGGGACGACCTCGAGGAGTCGGTCGTCCAGGTCGGCGCGCTCCTCGGCGTTCGAGACGCCGGCGAGCGCGCCCCCTTCGGTTATTTCGGCTAGATTTCGTCGTTACGTCGGGGCGCGAACGCGTCCGGCGCGCGCGCCGCGGCGACGCACGTCGAGGGCCCGTCCGCGAGGTCCAAAAACGGCGCGACGGCGAACGGGTCCCGGCACCGCTCGACGTCGGCGGCCACGAGCGCCTTCGCGGCGAGCGCCTGGGGCGGCGCGCCGATGACGACGCCGCAGGGCCCCGCCTCCTCGGAGACGACGCCTCCCGCGTCGACGACGACGCGCCGCGAGAGCACCGCGTTGTTGGACGGCTTCCGCGGCGTGCCGCAGACGTGCCACATCATATCGCCGTGGCCGACGACGGCGATCGTGAATTTCGACGGCTCCGCGCCGAGCGTCGAGCGCTCGACCGAGACGGGGACGCCCGCGTCGCGCCGCGGCGCCGCGCCCGCCTCGAGCCACGGCACGATCGACGCGCCCACGAACGACAAAAACCCCGGCCAGCTCGAGGCGTTCCGGAGCGCGCCGTTGGGCACGAGGCTCGCGCGCCGCCGCGCCGCGTCGCGGAGGGGCCGCGGCTCGTTGTCGAGCTGGAGGCTGTGGGACGAGTGGGGCTTCTCGACGACGAAGGGCGCCTCGTAGACCTCAACCCCCGGGAAGGCGGCCTCGGCCGTCTCGCGCGCGCGGCGCAGCGCCGACGAGAGGACGGCGTCGACGGCGCCGACGCGGGCCCGGAGCGCGGCGCCCGCGAGCGCCGACGTCGCGACCGCGCAGTCCGTGAGCGCCGGGTCGCGGTAGGCGTCGTGCAGCCGCGCGGCCTCGGGCCGCGGCGCGGCCCCGTCGAGCAGCGGCAGCGCGCAGTCCGTCTCGTCGCGCCGCGCCGCGAGGCCCCGCGCGCGGTCCGCGCGCAGGCCCGCGGCGGCCGCCGCCGCGGACGCCGCGAGCTCGCCGTCGATGGCGTCGTAGACGGCGCCGTCGGCCATGTGCGCGCCGATCTTCGCCGCGTCCCGGCTGCAGCCGTCGAGCACGTTGGCGCAGCTCAGGCCGTGGCGCATCCACAGGATCGTGACGATCGTACCGTTGACCAAGACCATGGCAGCGCGGCGCAGGAAGAGCTGCGGCAGCAGAGCACGCAGGCGTCGTCGCGGCAAGCGGCGCGGCAGCAGCAGTAGCACCGGCACGTCGCGAGCGTGTCCAGAGCGCGATGCGGAGGCAGGGCTCCTGGGGAGAGAGGCGGGATCTAGAGGCAATGTTGGTGACAAGTTTACTTCAACAGAGGCAAACATATACCAGTATCCAAACGACGCGCGGTAGGTCCGCTAGAAGCACACGGGTATGGCAGCCCACTGGCGCCGCGTCGCGATGTGCGCTTTGGCGCTCGCGTCGCTCGCGTCGGCCCAGACGCCGACGATGTGCGCTTTGGCGCTCCTCGCGTCGCTCGCGTCGGCCCAGACGCCGACGTCCGTGCCCACGAGCGCGCCGAGCTACATGCCGACGACGGAGTACGCGCCGTCCGGGACGCCGACGCCGCTGCCTTCGATCACGACGCCGCCGTCCGAGGCGCCGACGGCCTCGCCGTCCGGGACGCCCACGGGAGCGCCGACGGGGTGCCCGACCTACGGCCCCACGGTGCCGCCGACGCCCGAGCCGAGCGCCGTGCCCTCGATATCGCTCCCCCCGACGTCCGCGGAGCCCTCCGCGTCGCCGACGAGCGAACCCTCGAAGGCGCCGACGTCGACGCCGACGTCGGCGCCGACCTACTACACGGAGAAGCCCACGTCCGTGCCGACGTCCGTGCCGACGAGCCCGCCGACGCCGTCGCCGTCGTCGACCTTCGACCCGTCCGCGGCGCCGACGCCCGTGCCCTCGACGTACACGCCGACCGAGTGCCCGTCGCCGGAGCCGTCGCCGGAGCCGACGCGGACGCCGACCAAGTCCGTGCTCACCATGGACATCCGCATGTACGTGAACCCCCACGAGGACCCGACCTTCTACCCGACCGCGCTGCCGACGTCCGTGCCGACGTCCGTGCCGACGACGCCGCCGAGCTCGATCCCGTCGACGCCGCCGAGCCCCCACCCGTCGCAAGTGCCCACGTCCTTCCCGACGCTCTTCCCGACCTACGACACGCCCGCGCCCTCCGAGGTGCCCACGTCGACGCCCACGTCCGTGCCCACGGCGCTCCCGACGACGCCGCCGACGTCCGAGCCGACGTACATGACCGAGCACCCGTCGCTGACGCCGTCGTCGCTGCCGACGGCCGTGCCGACGCTGAGCAACCCGCCGACGTCCGTGCCCACGGCGACGCCGACGTCCGTGCCCACCGCGCTCCCGTCGCTCGTCCCGAGCCCGTCGCCGACGATCCTGCCCTTCGGCCGCCACTACTGCGCGGACTTCGAGGCCTTTGGGATGGAGGCCTACTACAAGCCCGTCATCGCCCTCGTCACGAACGCCACGGGCGTGAGCTCCGTCGAGTGCCTCATGGCCGGCCGCGACGGCCTCCCCGGCGGCGACAACGACACGGCCGTGCTCTACGCCGTCGCGCACTTTTACGCGACGGACGAGATCGACCGGAGCCTCGGCGAGGGGCTCCAGGACGTGGCCCTCAAGGTGAACCAGCGCATGAAGGACAACGTCATCCAGACGACGAAGTTCAACAAGAAGCTCAAGGCGCGCATCCGCAACTCCTTCGGCGGGTCGCGGAAGCGCGAGCGGCGCCTCGAGGGCCCGCGCCTCGACAGGCGCACGGGCCGCATGCTCTACGTCGGCGACACCATGGAGTACTCCTACAACGCGACGACGGCGATCCAGTTCGTCGACTCCGCGAACATCACGTGGGTCACGACGGACGTCGCCGGGTCCATCGCGCCCTCCAGGGCGGGACGAGGGTGATTCAACGTCGCTTCAACGTGAGTGTTCCGCGCGCGCGCGTTCCGAAAAAAAGCATCTACGCTTCGAGACCGTTCCGAGAGATGATCGCTCGTCCAAAAATTAGCCAAAACGAGTGGAAAACGGCCGAGATATGAGCCTTTGAAGTTGGGAATTTCGCTCTCTTGTCCTGCCCAGGCGCCCTCGGGCGTGCCCACGTCGGCCCCCAGCCCCCTCCCGACGACGCCGCCGTCGCCCGTGCCCACGTCCGCGCCCACGTCCGTGCCCACGACGTCGCCCACGTCCCCGCCGTCGCCCGCGCCGTCGGCCATGCCCACGCCCATGTGCCCGACGTGGGCGAGCCGCGACAACTGCACGAACGACTGCCTCTGCTGCACCGCGTACCACGAGAACGCCACGGGCATGCCCGAGTTCAACCCGACGCAGCACTCCCAGTGCCTCATGTGCGACTACGGCTACGACTGCGTCGACGACGACGGCGACGGCGACGGCTCGTGCGTCGCGAACAGCTCGTACGTCGACGGCAACAACATGTGCGACTGGTGGCTCTGGGCCTGGAACTACGGGCCCGAGACGGCGCTCACGGACAACCCCAACGGCCACGACTACAGCGACGACGGCAGCCTCGACGACAAGTTCTACGTCATCAACGGCCAGAACTGCAGCCGGAACGACGTCGACGTGATCAACACGGACTGCAAGGGCCTCTTCTACTACTGCAACGAGACCCACTGCGACACGGACACGGCGTCGGGCCACGAGTCCCTGGCCCACGACCGCGAGGCGTCGCTCTGCTACGAGGACTACCGCGGCGACTCGTACCGCGGCTTCTGCTCCTACGACGTCGGCCCGGGCGCGTGCGCGCGGTGCGTGCCCGGCGCCTGCAACAACGGCCGCAACTGCCTCGAGGGGCGCCTGACCTTCGACCTCGACACGACGAACCTGCGCCGGCGCCTCGGCGCGGCGCTCGACGCCGCCGTCTCGCGCGCGCTGTCGACGACGGTGACGGCGGCGGACCTCAACGACGACGTCAACTTCACGAACGCGCTCAAGGACGTCATCGCCGACGTCTGCGACTTCGACGACTACGGCCTGACGACGTCGAACATCAAGGACCTGGTCGTGGCCGACAACCGGCGGCGGCTCGCCGTCGACGGGTCCGGCGAGCAGCGCGCGCTGTCGACGTCGTCCTTCGCCGTCGACTACACCATCTCCTACGACCCCGCCGTCGTCGACGTCGACCCGACGGTGCTCGCCGCGGCCGTCGACACCGCGGCGACGGACGCGCTCGCGGACGGCTCCTTCGACACGGCGCTCACCACGTACATGCCGACGGAGTACGCGAGCGCCGTCACGGTCACGGCCATCTCCACGACCGTCCTCGCCACGTCCGCGCCGACCTTCTGGTCCGACACGGACGAGAGCGAGCCCACGCCGCCGGTCATCCTCCGCCGCATCGGCGGCGAGCCCGACCTCCCCGCCTGCGGCTGCGACGAGAAGCGCGCCGTCTACTAGGCGCCAACGCGCCGCCGCCCGCCCCGCCCGCCCCGCCCGCCTCGGGGTTCGTCTCTAAGGGGCGGCTCCGAAAGCGTGGGAGTCGAGCTGCGGCAGTCGCCGCCGCTGAGGACGCGCCGCTGTCGACCGCCGCCGCCGCCGCGGCACGCTGTTCGTGGCTCGAAGTGAGGCAGTGAGGAGTCCACGCGCGCGCAGCTTGAACCCTCCTTGAAGGCGTCGTTGATGCCTCTTGATGCTCGGGAAGCAGCTGCGCTCTGACTTGTGCTCTGATCAGCTGAGCGCCAGCCAAACGCACGCCTCCCGCGACGTACCGTACTGTCCCGACGCGCCCCGACCATGGCTCCCGAGGGCGAAGTGCTCGGCGATCCCGCGATGCTGCTGCCCTTGGTGCTCATGTGGTACGGCGGCGCCGGTTTGGTCGGCGCCGTCGGCGTGCTGCTCATCAAGGTCGTCGATTCCATGGACCCGCCCCAGCAATGGCACGCGTCGACGGACGCGGCGAAGGATGCGGCCGACGACGAGGCGCTCGCGCGGGCGGACGCGCTCGAGGATCACCACGGGTCCGAGCCGGGCGAGCGCGACGCCGCGGCCGTCGCGCTGGTCGCCGTCCTGCTCCTCTGCGCTTTTGGCGTCGTCGACGCCTGGCCGACCCTGGCCTTCGCCGCGACGGCCGCGGCCGCGCACGCCGCGGGCTACCAGGCCGGCAAGCGCGAGGCCGCCGCGCCGCGCCGCGCGCCGCGCGCCGCGGCGCCGGCGCCGCGCAAGGCGCGGCCCGCGGCGCGCGCGCGCGTCCTGCGGCGGCCCGCGGGCAAGCACGGCTTGCGCAAGGTCCGCAGCGCGAACAGCCTGCTCGTCGCCGCGTCCCTCAGCGTGCCGCTGTGAAAACCCCCCGTCGTCCCGCCTGCATAAAACCCCTACCATATCCCGGCGCCGCTTTTTTTCTACTACACTATCTATCGTTCTATGGTCGAGGAGCGAGTCCTAGCCGCAAAATGCTCGCCCGACAATGCTCGCCGGGAAATGCCGGAACCACCCCGCCCTCGCCCGATGGGGTGCGGGGCCCTTGAACGAGAGGCAATGGAGCTGGAAGTCCGCCGCCCGCGCCCTCTCCCACCGACTCGAAGACGGCGCGCGCCGCCTCGCGGACCGCGCCGCCCTCGCCACCCTCACGACCAACCTCCGCCGCGACGGCTAGGGGGCGGCCTCCGGCCGCCACCTGGCTCGGCTCGCCGAGGTACCCCACGAATCCCGCGATCCGAGATCTACCCGAGAGAAAGTGGAGAGAACGGTGTGGTGGACGCCTCGTTCACCCCGTCTCGTGCGTCCATACATCATCTCGTGCGTCCACCTCGTGCGTCCACCTCGTGTCGCTCCCCGTGATCACCCTCGCCCTCGTCCCCGCCCACGGTCATTCGCCGACGATGCGCACGTGGTATTCGAGCATCATCTTCTTCCTCCTCGGGGACCTCGCCGCGGCCGATGCGACGGCGGGGCACCCCGACGTCGACCCGTCGTCGGAACTGCGCGACGGCCTGTCGGCGCTCTTCGCGACGCCGGTGCTGAGCGCGGCGTTGCGGGACTACGAGGCCGACGCGGACGTCCTGCTGCGAGACGTGGCGCCGGACATCGACGCCGATTGGCGAACGTACCTCGCGTCGCCGGACCGGCCCGACTACGAGGACCCCGGGGACTTGAACGACGGCTTCTTCCGCTGGCAGATGCGCGCCGGCGCCTGGCAGCGGTCGCCGTCGGGGACGAGGATCAGGGCCGCGCTCGCGCGCGCGGCCCGCGCCTACGCGGAGCGCGTGGGCGGCGACGCGCGCGGGATTTCCGCGGACGCCCTCGAGGTCTGGGCATCGGTGCACGACGGCTGCGACTCGATGCACCCGCTGCACGTCCATCTGACCGTGGCGCTCTCTGGAGTTTTATACGTTTCGGTGCCGCCCGGCGCCGGCGACCTGGTGATGCGCGACCCGCGGGGTCCCGGCCCGGCGCGGCACACGCGCCGACGCGCGCTCGAGGGCGCCCGGACGTTCGAGCCTTCGTCGTCCGCCGCCGCGCCGCCGCCGCGACCCCCCTCGCGCGCGCAGGCTTCCTCGCGCCGTTCGACTACGGGAGGCACTACGTCACCCCCCGGCCCGGCCGCCTCGTGCTGTTCCCCGCGTGGCTGCCGCACGGCGTCGCGCTGCGACGGAGGAGCCGCGGCGCGTGCCCGGCGGCGGCGCCGCGCGTCTCCGTCAGCTTCAACGTGCTGGCGTGCCTCGACGCCGAAGCCGAGGAGGGCACGTGCTTGGACCCGACCACGGAGTTCCACCCGGCGCCCGCGGCGGCCGTCGACGCCGTCGCCGCCGTCGACGCCGCCGGCGAGCCCGCGGCCGCGGCGGCGCCTCGGAGCGCGTCGCATCGACGGAGTCTGGGGTCGTTCTTGTGATAAAGCTCTGGGCTAGCACCCCGCTAGGTCGACGGGGGGTGGTTCGACGCGTTCCTGCCGACCTCCGACCCCGAACTTTTTACGTCTTATGCCAGAATCACGTGTTTTCTTTCGTTTCCAATACTCCTAGCGTGCGAAAACACTCTTTTTAAGTGACATTTTGCTCCATGACTTTTGGACGCGCGCGCGTGGTCGGCGCACGCGCCAAGCGTCGCCAATCGCGTGCTGGACGCGTCGATAGACGCCCATGGACCCCCTCTCCAAGGGGAGCACACGCTTGCAACAGGAGGCTAGCCCGTTCGCGAGAACCGCTGCAAGGCGTGCCGGGAAAAAAATTCTCAAAAAAAATATTGAAATCACCTAGTAAGGCTAAGTGGCCGTTGAAATAATTGATCACCCATCCCTCGCCATCCCTGGAACCGATGACCGCAAGGGATACCATTTCGAGATCGCCTGGACCTCAGGAGCGTGTAGATATATTCACTTTGCCGCCCCCCGGATCAGATCCGATAATAAATTCGGTCAAATCTAACGTGCACTAGTTAAGCTATCAGTACGACCTTACGGGGTGCTATCTGGGCTTTCTCCAGGGAAAGCGGCGACCACTGGCTGGCACCGAACGACCGTGACATGGTAGTTGGCGCCGCGACGGCGCCGTAGCGCGCGCGACCACTCGTCGCGACGAGGTTGCGGGCTCGAGAGACGGTTTCAAAAAAAACTCCCCGGGCGCCAGTTGGACGACCGACCATACCTCCAGGCAGCTCACGCCGGACCGCCGCGTGGCTGCGGACGAAAGCGCAGAGGCAGCGGTGCACGCGTCGCGACTGACGGGAGCACACGGCGAGCTAGAAAGGGCTGCCCCCCACCGCGGACGCGGGATGGACGCGGCGCGCCCGACGCCGCGGAGCCGCGCGGACATCGAGGCCCTGCGACGGCAAGCGGCGGAGGACGATGTAAGACGACCTCGCGGAAGCGCGCGCGTGCGCGCGAGGCCCGACGACCATCCGCGACCACCGCGCGGCCGCGGCCGGCGACGACGACTCCGAGCACGAAACCCAGATCTCTGCCCTGAAGCGCCGCGCCGACGCGAACGTGTAACGTATCCCGCCGGCGGGATATGTTTACCCCCACCCCGGTGGACCGGTCGTTCGTTACGCCGGGGGCGGCGCCCAGGGGATCGTCTCGCAGCCCGCGCCGTCGAGGACCTTGATCGTCGCCGCGTCGAGGTTGAGCGCGTAGCGCCGCCGGAGGACGTCGAGGCACGCCGCGACGAGGTCGACGGCGGCGTCGCGCGACATGTCGGCGTCGTAGGCCCCGTCGAGGTGGCCGAGGACGAGCGCGGCGCCGACGCCGTGCGCGGCGTAGGGCAGCTCCGCGGCGGCGCCGGTCTCGTCGATCCAGTGGACGCGCGCGGCGCCGTCGTCGCCGCGGCTGCCCAGGAGCACGCGCAGCTGGGGCAGCCCGCCGCCGCGGCGCCGCCGGTCCGCGAGCTCGCGGCGCGCGAAGTGCGCGGCCGCGCGCGGCGCCGCGGCGGCGCCGGCGAGGTGCGCGTACGCCGCGAGGTTTTCGCGCAAGAGCGCCGCGAAGCGGTCCGACTCGCCGCGGTCGCCGACGCAGGCCAGGAGCAGCGCGTCGTCGACGAGGGGCACGCCGTCGCGCGCGGACCGGAACGACACGAGGCCGCGCCGGTGCGTGTCGTCGGCGGCGACGACGACGAAGCCCTTGCCGGCGACGCCCACGCTCACGCCGCTGAAGCCCTCGTTGGCGGCGGCGGCGCGGAAGCACGACGCGACGACGACGACCGCGGCGAGGCCGCGGGCGGCCGTGCGGCCGGAGGCGAGGGTGGGCGCCATGGTCTGATGCGGCGAGCTTGCCGGCCGTCAACAAGTCGTCAACATGCCATACAAGGCGCGCCGACGCGCGCGCTGAAGACGCTCCGAGAAGTCAAAGTGGACTGGGCTTTGCGTCGACGGCCTCTCCCCTACCGCTCCTACGACGCCACAGTCGGCGCTGCACCCGACCGTCGCGGCAGGCTCGGCTAACTCGGCAGTAAAGGCGGTTTTTACTCCTCCCCGTCGAGCTCGCACTTGAGGTCGTCGAAGGCCTCGGTGATGGCCGCGGCGACGTCGCGCGCGCGCGCGGCGACGTGCGCGCGGCCCGCGTCGCTGTCCGGGCGGACGGCGGCGAGGTGCGTCGCGGCCGTGAGCTCGAGCTTCTCCTTCTCGAGCGTCTGGACGCGGCGGCAGCAGTCGGCGGCGGCGGCGAGCCCCCGCGCGCGGAGCGCGGCCTCGCAGGCGTTGAAGCGCCGGCTGACGAGGTCGAAGACGACGGTGATCTTCGCGACCTGTGTGCAAATCAACCACTGGTTTGGGACGTCCCGACCAAACTTGGACATTCTCCAGCTCGGTCAAATCGAAGTCGATTCGGCTGATTTTTGGACGGATCGATTGCTCTCATCGATTTCTCGAAGCACAGCGGAAGTGATCGTGTCAAAATATTCGAATACGCTCACATTGAAGTCGGGTTGAAGATTTGATTTGCACACGGTTCGCGACGACCGCGCCGTAGGCCGCGACGTCGACGGCGCCGGAGCCGCCGCGGCACGCGTCGAGCGCGGCGTCGAAGCGGCGGTACGTCTCCACGCGGTCCTCCTGGAGCTTCCGGAGCCGGCCGAGGAGCGCCGGCGTCGGCTCGCCGGCGACGTCGACGTCGCCGCCCGCGGACGACGCGAGCGCCTCGGCGCCGGGCACCGCCGGCGGTTCGACGGCCGCCGGCGGCGGCGGCGGGGCGCACGCGAGGCCGAGGTCGATGACCTGGCCCTCGGGCGCGTGCGGGTCCCGGTCCGGCGGCGGGCTGTTCATGATCTCGTCCGCGCGCGCCTTCTGGTGCGCCGCGAGCAGCGCGATGGCCTTTTCGGCGTCCATGCTGCTTTCAGAGTGCTGCGGCGAGCGCTGCGGGCGACGAGGCGAGTGGCGCCGGCGTCGCTGGAGGTGTGTCGAAGGCGCGCGGGGGCGGGCGTCGGCACTGTGCCACAGTCTGTGGCAAAGCTGTGCAGCATCTGTGCAGCTCGCCAAACCTGTGCTCATCTAGACGACCTGCGGCGCCGTGGATTTGGCCTGACCGCCTCGACCAGCCGCGCCGAACAGCGCCGACGACCCGCCGACAGCCAAAAGCCGAGGCTCCGTGCGCGCGCAACGGCACTGCCGACATGCGTCCCATGATGAAGGGCTCCCCTCGAAAGAGCACGACGAAGCAACCCACGAGCGCTTCCCTGGACCTCGACGGGTCGCAGACGACGACGATCCGCCGCTCGCAGTCGCGGGAGATCATGGACCGCATGTCGCTGGAGCAGCAGCTGCTCGACCGGCCCGGCCCGGACGAGCCCTACGACCCGTCGTTCTTCGACGACGACGACTACCACCTCGGCCCCCACCGCGGCGCCTGCGGGCGCCGCGAGTGCCGCGACGCGTGCGTCGGCGGCGGCCTCGAGAGCTACGTCTGCTCCGCCGGCGGCGAGGACGCGCCCGAGGACGACGCGCACTGCTGCGCGCCGCCGGCGCTCGGCGGCGACGCGGCCGTCCGCTACTCGACCGCGTCGTCGGCCGCGCCCAACGTCACCTGCTTCTAGGATGAAGTTAGGGTATCTTATCGCCGCAGCTCCGAAGTCGCTCTCATCGCCGCAGCTCCGACCGGTCGTCGTCGTCGTCGTCGTCGTCGTCGTCCCCGCCCCGGTCGTCGTCGTCGTCGTCGTCGTCGTCGCTCCGCGCCGGCAGCTCCCGCGGGAGCCGGTCGCGCTCGGCGCAGTGCGCGCCGAGGTCCGCGACGAGGCGCGCGCGGGCGTCGCGCCAGGACGCGGCGTCGCGGCTCTCGTGGAGCGCCCACGCCGCGAGGTTCCCCGGCCGGTCGAGGTCGCACGTGGCGCGCGAAGGGGGCGCGCGCGCGCGCTCGTTGACGCGGCCGTCGTCGCAGCAGGGGCGCACGATGACGCCCGGCGTGTTCGGCGGCGGGTGCGGCCCCTCGCCGCGCGCCGCGGCGGCGGCGGCCGCCGCCGAGGCCGCCTTCTCCGCGCGCCGCTTCGCCCGGCGCTCGTCCTTCGGCAGACCGGCGCCGTCGAAGAAGTGCTCCGTGCCCGTCGCGGAGACGTTGCGGCCGCAGAGCGCGACGTAGACGCACGACTCGACCCTCGACTTGACGGACGCCGCGGGCAGCCACGGCGCCCTCGGCGCCGGGCGGCAGGCGTCGAGCGCCGCGCCGGCCTCGCGCCAGAGCCAGTCGAGGGCGATATCCGCGGCGCCGCGGTCGAGGAGCTCCCAGTAGTCGCGGTGGCTCGCGGCCCAGCCCGCGGCGCCGCGCGCGGCGGCGGCGGCGGCGCGCGCCGCGTAGTAGCCGCTCGCCGCGGCCGGCAGGCGGCAGGCGAAGACGTAGTCGGGCCGCGCGCGGACGACGTAGTCGTAGCGGAAGCGCCCCGCGCGCTCCCGCGCCTCGACGGCCGCGTGGCAGAGCTTGCACCGCGCGCGGAGCGTCTTCTGGTGGAGCCGCCCCGCCGACGGCGCGAGCGCGGTCGCGGCGGCCACGGCGGCGTCGTCCTCCAGCACCTCGAAGGCGACGATGGACGGCGCCAGCGGGCCGGACGCCTCGAGCGCGGCGAGCTCCGCCGCGCCGTTCGGGTCCCGGAGGCTCCCCCAGCGGCCGCGCTTGACGGCCGTGTCGCGCGCCGCGCGCCCGGACGGCGCCTCGCAGGACCCGGGCGCCGACGGCAGGCAGCCGCCGGCGCCGGACGCGTGCGCCACCTCGTGGGCCGCGGACACGTAGAAGAAGACGTCGGCGCCGAGCGGCGCCACGAGGTGCTCGTAGAGGTTGCGCTGGATGGCCGCGTCGCCGCCCGTGCGCAGCTGCCCGACGAAGCAGACGGCGAAGCGCGGCGTGCGTGGTGGTCGTGGTGCCTCGAGCGGCGTCTGCGCCGCGGCGAGCGCCGCCGCGGCGAGGACGAGGGAGGCCGCCAACATGTCTTGCGGCAATTTTGGTGCAACGCCGCTTCAAGTCGCAGGCTCCAGGCCTCCGCGCGCGCGCCTCGCCGCGTCTTCCGGACCTCCTCGCCTGCGGCTCTGCGAGAGATCGAGTTACTTGGCGGCGACGGCCGCCTCGGCGGCCGCGGGCGCGGCGTCGGGCTTGGGCGGCGGCGGCGTGAACTTGGCCGTGTCGAGGTCCTTGAGCTCGTCGAGGTCCTTGAGCTCGTCGAAGAGCGCGTCGACGTCGATGGTGCCGAGGTCGCCCATGGTCCGCGCGCGGACGGCGAGGTCGCCGCTGGCCATCTCCTTCTCGCCGACGACGCACATGATGGGCACGCGCTGCGTCTCCGCGTTGCGGATCTGCTTGTTGAGGCGGTCCTTGCCGCTGTCGATCTCGCAGCGGATGCCGCGCTGCGCGGCCTTGGCCGCGACGGCCTTGGAGAAGTCGCGCGCGTCGTCCGTGACCGGCAGGAGGCGCATCTGCGTCGGCGCGAGCCAGAGCGGCAGGTCGCCGCCGCACGACTCCAGCAGGATCGCGAAGAAGCGCTCGAGGCTCCCGAAGATGGCGCGGTGGACCATGATGGGCCGCTCGGCCTGGCCCGACGCCGCGCGGTACTCGAGCTCGAAGCGCTCGGGCAGGTTGAAGTCGCACTGCACCGTCGAGCACTGCCACTGGCGGCCCAGCGCGTCCTTGATCTTCAGGTCGATCTTGGGACCGTAGAACGCGCCGCCGCCCTCGTCCACCCCATGGTCCCAGCCCTTGCGGTCCAGGGCGCCCTTGAGCGCCGCCGTCGCCTTGGTCCAGATCTCGTCGGAGCCGACGGCCTTGTCGGGCCGCGTGCTCAACATCAGCTCGTAGTCGTCGAAGCCGAACTTGGAGAGGATCTCCTCCGTGAGCTCGAGGACGGCGACGATCTCGTCCTCGAGCTGCTCCGGCGTGCAGAAGATGTGCGCGTCGTCCTGCGTGAAGCCGCGGACGCGCATCAAGCCCTGGAGCGTGCCGCTCCGCTCGTAGCGGTAGACCGTGCCGAGCTCGGCCCAGCGGAACGGCAGGTCGCGGTAGGACCGGAGCTGGTCCTTGTAGACGAGGCAGTGGAAGGGGCAGTTCATGGGCTTCAACTGGTACTGCTCCTTCTCGACGTCCATCTGGTCGAACATGCCCTCCGCGTAGAAGTCGAAGTGGCCGCTCGTCTTCCAGAGGTCCACGTTCGCGATGTGGGGCGTGACCAGCAGCTCGTAGCCGCCGCGCTCGTGGGCCGCCTTCCACGTGTCCTCCATGAGCATGCGGATCCGCGCGCCCCGCGGGTGCCAGAAGCACAGCCCGCCGCCGGCCGCCTCCTGGATCGAGAAGAGGTCCAGCTTCTTGCCCAGGACGCGGTGGTCGCGCTTCTTCGCCTCCTCGAGGCGCCGCTTGTGCTCCGCGAGCTGCCAGTTCTCCTGCCAGGCCGTGCCGTAGATGCGCTGGAGCATCTCGCGCTTCTCGTCGCCGCGCCAGTACCTGGGCAGGACAAGGGTGATTCAACGTCGCTTCAACGTGAGTGTTCCGCGCGCGCGCGTTCCGGAAAAAGCATCCACGCTTCGAGACCAGTCCGAGAGATGATCGCTCGTCCAAAAATCAGCCGAAACGAGTGGAAAACGGCCGAGATATGAGGCTTTGAAGTTGGGAATTTCGCTCTCTTGTCCTGCCCTGGCCAGTACGCGCCCGCGACCGACTGCAGGGCGACGGCCTTGGGCTTGATCGCGCCCGTCGACGGCACGTGGGGGCCCGCGCAGAGGTCCCACCACTCGTCGCCGATGCGGTAGAAGGAGATCGTGTCGTCGGTGATGCCGTCGAGCACCTCGACCTTGAACGTCTCGCCCTCGGCGAGGAGCCGCGCCCTCGCCTCCTCGCGCGGCACGACCTCGCGGATGATGGGCAGGTCGGCCTTGATGATCTTGTCCATCTCCTTCTTGATGCGCTTCAGGTCCTTGTCGCTGATCTGCTCCTCCCGGTAGAAGTCGTAGTAGAACCCGTTCTCGATCCACGGGCCGATCGTCACCTGCACGTCGTCCTTGAAGACGCGCTTCACGGCGAGCGCCATGATGTGGCTCGTCGAGTGGCGGATCTTCACGAGCTCCTCCTCCGCGTTCGTCGGCAGCGTCGCCTTCGTCGGGTCGAAGTCCGCGTGGTCGTGGCCCGCGTGGAAGAGCGCCGACGTTCGGCGGGCGGCGGGCGCGGCGCGCGGCCGGGCGACGGAGACCGCGGGGCCCTTCAGGAGCGAGCGGGCGCTCCGGAGGAAGAGCATGACCGTCAGCGCGCGTCTCATTGGCCTGATTTCACGACCAAGTCCAGCCCATGCGTCGACTCAGACCGACTGCAAGCACTTGTGGGCGAGTGGCGATTGGTTACTTGAAGCTTCGTTGAAGGCATCTGCGGCCCGTACGTATACGAGCTCGTCGGCGATGGCCGTGCGGAGAAAAGCAAAAGCGCGACAAAGTTACGAGACCCACGCGCGGAGCGACGCGGCGTCCGTCGCCGGCGGCGGCGCGTCGCCGCGCGCGGGCCGCACGTCGCCGTCGTAGCGGAAGCCCTCCGGCGCCGTCGTCGACGCGGCGGCCGTCGCCGCGGCGAATGCCGGCGGCGGCGGCGGCCCGGCGCCCGCGTCCTCGTGGGGCGGGCGGATGGGCATCTGGACGGGGCCGCGGAATTCGTACGCCGCGGCCGTCGGCAGGTCCAGCGGGAACGACGCGTCGGCGTCGAAGGCGTCGTCGCCGCCGCAGGCGACGAAGGGCACGGGTTTCTCCGCGTCGCCGGGGGCCTCGCCGAAGCCCCGGCAGACGACGAACGCCTCCGGCGACGCGGAACGGCTGCACCGCGGTTTCGCGACGAAGACGCTCCGGAAGTGTTTGCGGAGCGACTCGAGGAGCGCCGTCGCGTCGCGGCCCCGGTAGACCTTGGACACGAAGCAGCCGCCTAAGAAGGGCGGTTCCCGACGTCCGGAGGCGGCGCGCGCCTCTCGTCCGCGAGCCGCTCGCGTCGGAGTCGCGTCGCGCGTTTCGCGGCCCCGGCGGCCGCCGCGCGCGAGGATCGCCTCCGCCATGGACCAGGCCTTGCGCACGAGCTCGTTCTGCAGGTGCTCGTCGACGTCGTTGAGGCCGATGACGTCCGGCGCGCCGTCGCAGAGCACGACCTAGGATCGGCGCGCGTCGCGCGGGACCGCGGCGGACGTCGAAACACGCCGCGCCGCGCGTCCGCGCCGCCGCCGAGCGCGTCGACGACCTCGCGCGCCGTCGCCGCGGCCGTGATGTCGCCGAGCACCATCTCGACGCCGGCGATGGGCGCCATGGGCTTGAGGTCGACGGCGACGACTCTCGCGCCGGGCCGGCGCTCCGCGACGACCTGCGACCAGCCGCCCGGCGCCGCGCACAGGTCCGCGACGCGGAGTCTGTCGTGCGTCGTCGCGGTGGAGAGGATGCCGAGCGTCGCGTCGAGCTGCAGCAGCTTGAAGGCCGCGCGCGCGCGGTAGTTCGACGTCTTCGCGAGGCGGTAGTAGATGTCGCGCTTGTCTCGGGAGGTGCGGCCCATATTGTGCGCTCCTTCTTCTTCGAGGGCTGTGCGGCTGTGCGTGCACAGCAGGGCTTCGTCCACCGCTGCTAAGCTTTGCTAGTACGGGGGAGCCATGTCGCTCTCCGGCTTTGTTGCCGTGCTACTTGAACTCGAGTGCCGCCACGCGTCGGGCTCCGTCGGCGGCAAGGGGTCGCCGATGCCCGCGAGGTGGCTGGCGTCGGCCGCGAACTGCGGGGCCGTGCCCTCCATCGTGAGGTTCTCCGTCGCCCGGACCGCGGCGAAGTGGGACGCCGTGCGCGCGATCATACCGCGACGGTGTTCTTGCGGCTCGCCAGTCCCGAATTGGACTCGAGGAGCTCCGTCTCGACCATGAAGTCGCGGAGCCCCTCCGACCCGACCGCGAGGCCGAGCGGCTCGACGTCGTAACGCCAGTCGGCGCTCATTTACTGCGACCCAGACGCTGCCCTCCGATGTTTGCACTTGCTTGGCGTCAGCGACGATTTTCGGGGTCCTTGGTTCGAGCCCGGGTAGCTCAGTTGGTTAGAGCGCTGGACTTTTAATCCAGTGGCCGCGGGTTCAAGTCCCGCCTCGGGTGTTTTTTTTGTTTCCAAGCGCGCGAACGCCCCCAAAGTCACGCCTACACACGACGCGACGTCCTCAAATCACGCCTACGCGCCGTACAACACAAAACGACGCCCAAGCGAAGCCACGATACGCGCCAAACGACACCAAACGACCCTGGGTTCGACGATTACGTCCCGCGGCCCTACCTCACGATCATCATCCCGGGGCCCGCCAGTCGCGCCTGGGCCTTGCGGATGATGGCCGCGGCCTGGCCGCGGACGGTGCCGCTCGGCGCGCCCGCCTTCTTCGTCGCCTTGGTTTTTCGCCACGCCCGCACCCGGTTGAACATGGGCGCCTTCTTGAGCATGTTCGGAAAGATGAAGAAGGCGATCTGGGAGCCGCGCAGGAAGATGTGCTCGACCTGCGACTTGTTGCCCTTGGCGTCGGTGCGCGTCGCGTCCTTGAGCACGCAGTTCATGTTGTCCTCGGTCTCGTCGAGGAAGCCGCGGTACGTGTCGCCGTTCTTGCACTCGATGGTCACGATCGTGCCCTCGCCGTCGTGCATGAGGATGAGCGGCACGCCGACGCCGCGCTTGCCCGTGACCGACATGCTGGGCGCGAGCGGCGCGGCGGCGCGGCGGCCGGCGCCGCGCGGCGGTCGCGCGGCGTCGGCGGCTGCGGCGCGGCGGCGGCGGCGGCCACGGAAGCGGCGCGCGCGAGGTGTCGCGGGCGGCGCGGCGCGCAGAGGCGACCGGCAAGACGGCCTCGCGGACGGCGAGCTCGGCTGATCCAGAGCATGGAGGCCTTGGCAGAGGCTGGCTTTGAGCAGCCGACGGACCCGTAACGCACGCGCGCGTACCCTCGAGCAACATAACACCAGGCTCGCGATGATCGGCGACGCGCGCGGCTCGTGGCTGCCGGCGGACGCGCTCGCGCTGCTCCAGGCCGCGGACGCGCAACGCCGCCGCCCGGCGGACGCGCTGTCCGTTCCGCTCGACGTCGGCAAGCTCACGCTCGTCAAGGAGTCGGAGAAGCGGAAACTGCGCGCGGACCTCCGCGCGGCCTTTTCGCCGGCGCTCGACGCCGACGACGCGCTCGACGCGCTCGTGCCCTGCGGCAAGGCGTTTCCGCTGGCGCGCGCGCGGCTCGGCGCGACGCGCCACGAGGTCTACTGCGTCGCGGGCGAGGCCGTGCTCATCGCCGCGGACCGCAAGACCCACACGACCCTCGTCCCGACGGTCCTCGGCGCGCAGCGGTGCCCGCACGTTTCGCGGCAGCTCGCGATCCACGCGCCCGTGCGCGCGAACGTGCTCCGCGGCGCGGACCTCTTCGCCGGCGGCGTCGTCGGCGCCCAGGCGGCCGAGGGCAACGGCTGGCCCGCGCGGCTCTTCGGCGGCCCCTTCGAGCGCGGCGAGCTCGTCGCGCTCGTGTCGCACGGC